TGAGCCCGGCGCTTCCCCTGCTCGCGTGACAGGAGCCCCTGCGTGTGTGCCATGTGCCCGGCTGAAACCGCTGCCCCGGGCCTGCTGTCCCCAGTGTCACCTTTCCCGCTGCTCAGGGCATGCTAGCAGAGGCCGCCCTCTGGGCCGGGCATTCCCGCTGCTGCCCAGCAAGCCCGTGTGTGTCGACAACAGTGACATCACCAAGCGAGCGGCAGGCGGCCTCTACGTCAGTTTCCCTTCTCTCTCATCAGCGGGAGAAAGGCTGGAATAATTCCAGGGGAAGCCTGGGCAGCAGGCGTGCCCGGGGGCTGGTTGCATGCAGACGGGGCTTACAGAGAACCCCCAGGTTTCCCCCCGGTGCGGCAGCCCGAGGGGCTCCCTGCTGGTGACAGGAGGAGGCTTCCCACGAAACCACATCTCCTCAGGGTCCTCTGTGAGCCGCTCGGACTTGGAAAGAGATGCCGGGCTGACCTGCGACCTCCCTCTGCCCCAGGCCCCTCCTCCGTGGAGGCGCGCCCCTAACCTGCCCCGCACGCGGGGGTCGCTGTGGACACTCGCTCAGGATTGTCCGCGGAGCCTCGTTCAGGACGTATTGGAACGACCACGCGAGAAAACGCGTCTCGTTGTTATTACTGTTGCTGCCTCGCTGACCGGGGGAGTGAGGAAATAAAGAAAGCAAATGGGGAGAGGCCTCCATGTCGTGTCCCTGGGGAGCCTCACAGCCACGCCCAGCGGCTCTGGCCGGAGTGCCAGGTTCCCCGCAGCCTGACTGCGCTGAGCTGGGCCACCGGGCTCTGTGAGCTCTTCCTCCTGCGGCCTGTCCCCTGCCACACACAGCCCCACGGCCATGGCCAAGGCCACACACACAGTGCCACAGCCATGGCCACACACACACACACACACACAGCCCCACGGCCATGGCCAAGGCCACACACACAGCACCATGGCCACGGCCAAGGCCACACACACACACACACAGCCCCACGGCCATGGCCAAGGCCACACACACAGTGCCACAGCCATGGCCACACACACACACATACACACAGCCCCACAGCCATGGCCAAGGCCACACACACAGTGCCACGGCCATGGCCACACACACACACACACACACACAGCCCCACGGCCACGGCCACAGCACCAGGAGTCCAGGGGAATTAGGAAAAAAGAATCTGGAGGTGGGAGCGAGTATTCGGTGCCATTGCGGGTGGACAGACGAGCCTGGCAAGTCCTTAGGTCAGTGAGTCCAGGCTGGCCGCCGGGCTCTCTCTCGCAGGCTGACTCGGGCTCATCGGGGGTAGTTGCTTGGAGCTCTGCGCTAAGAAGGGTTCTGAGGCAGGGTCCTGGCTGGGGGGCGGGGGGGCGGGAATGCTGTGTGTGCTGCGGGGATGGGCGGGAACGGCTGACAGCTGGTTGCCTCGAGCTTTCTACCTTGAACTAGTTTGGTCCCCGGGATGTGGAGACGGGGGCCCACGGAGGGGCACAGTGTCCAAAGTCGGGTTGTGCCACTTGTAGGGTGGTCATTCCTCCCTGGTGACCGTGGGCGGGGGAGGACAGGAGGACAGGGGACTGCCGGCTGCATTGGGAAGGCGAACCAGAGCTCGCAGCAGGCCAGACGGGGTGCCATGGCACGGAGACACAGGCGTGTCTGAGGAGCTGTGGGAGGACCACTCCCCTCCCGCCCCCGGTTAGACAGGGAGAAAGGCAGGCAGGGAAGGCGGGGAGGACGGAGAGGGCAACATGGTGCCGGGCAGTGCTGGCCTGGGGTTGAGCCGTTCCCTGTGGGCCTGCAGGCCCTGGAACACGCAATGTTGCAGGGATACACGGAGCGAGCCCACTCTCGCTGGGAAGGGACGGGGCCGGGTCAGCGAGTCTAAAAATACGGGCCCTGAGAGCCTCCTGCTCACAAGCAGCGTGGGACGTGTTTATGCCGTAAACGGAGAACAAACGGGCTTTTTAAACAGCCGGAAGCTGTAGGCACGCTCCAGGGTTTCGGTGCAAACCCATCTGGCCGGTCTGGTGCCTTCGCATGCACTTTCCTGGCATTCGCTCGCCCGGCGCGGGCCCCCAGGGCCTCAGCGGAGCTGGGGGTGGGGGTGGGGGAGGCGCAGTGATCCCACCCTCCTGGTGGGAAGGGAGGCTGGGCCGGCGCCGACTTGCCTGCGCGCTTTTCCGATTATGGAGGCGCAGGGATCTGGGGGGATTGCGTTTAGTGAAAGGATTTAGACCGAGAGACGTGTGGGGTGAGCGTGTCGAGCAGGAGGATGGCCACGTGGGATGCGTTGTCGACCTGAGGCCTTCGTGTGGGGTCCCTGAACTCTAGTCTGAGACAGGACCTCAGTGCAGGGGCTTATGGGGGGGGGGGGATCCCAGGAAGAAGAGGAAGGCAGCGGCCTGGATGCTGCGGTGAAGTCGCTGCGGTCAGGTCACTGAGTTGGGCCGTGGCAGCTCAGGCCCGGGGAACTCTGGGAAGAGTGGACGCTCGTGCTGTGGTCCTCGTGGGGGACAGGAGGCAGAGCTGGGGTGAGGCCTGGGGGGTTCTGGGCGGTCAGGGCAGGGCTGAGTGTGGGGAGCAGGCAACAGGGAGCCGGGAGGCACTGCCATCAGGAAGGGGGGGGTAGGGGA